TCCCTTATGATCTGAAAATCCATAAACTTTTATTTTAATTTTCAAAGTATTGTTAGTATTTTGCACATTACTAAATATTAAGTCTATGTATGTTGTAGAGGTTTCGGTCACTGGTTGGTTCTTTAACATACTAAGTGAAATTAAAACCTTTCATGAATGTTAAAAGATTAGAACTTAAGTTGTTGGATTCTAAAGCCCGAGGGGTTAATGTTCATAATCTCTTGGATAACATAAACTATTATATCACGCCATCCGTGTTCGTCTTCCCAAGGTTGCTCATCTAAACAATATTGAAAAGGAACCAGACAAACGTTAACTAAGAAAAAGAAGGGGGGAATCGAGGCTTCTCTCGATCCGGCCTCCTATAACCCCTACGTTGGGTTCGGGAACAACGTATGTGATCTCCGCAACGGAGTAACACACAAGGGTGATAACCTCTTCCCTTTCAGAAAATAGGTTCAGGCGGGGATTATGGGTCTTCCGAAGTCGTCCCGGTCCCAACGCCTTAATTCTTCGATATGGACTGTATTATTTTGAGGGAAGAATTCCTTGGGAATAAAACAGCAATTATCTTCAAACCGTTCCGTGAGAGAGTAATTACTTTTCCCTATCACTTCCCTACACTTTTTCTTTCTTCTTCTTATTGACTGCTGGTCTTGCACTTTTCCCGAAGTTTCTCCGAACTTCCCCGAACTTTCCCGAAGGATTCCCGAACGATTTGTAAGAAAACTCGTTTACTGAGCTACCACAAAACTATACGCGAAAGAGAGCCGCGCCCTCTGTGCGATTACGCCACTTAACTACATCAATTTGTACTATCACTCTCTCGCGGTTTGCTCAATATCTTTATTTGTATAAGACATACATTTATACATTTTATTTATAAAGATAGCACAAAAAATATCTATACTATGATATACATTACATTTTTATATCACAAAAAACCTTTTATTTATTCAACAAAATATGCCCATTTTACAACATGCAACAAGTTAGAATTCTTAAATATCCAACATATAAGGTTGAAACAATGTTCTTCACTTGAAAATATAAATATCTTAACTAATACAATAGTTTAATTTACATTTTTCCTATACATTTTACCATTTAAAACACTTTTAAATTTCTTACACAAAACTATCAATATTTCACTAATCCAAAGGAATTTTCACATGAAAATAACACAGAATTCACTTGTTTTGTTCATACAGTCAATCTAGAATATTTTACAAGTCAATTTTACATAAATTGCTGAAATTTGCAAATATTTAAATTTCTACTTATTTTGATCTCCTATGTTAACGCGCGGCTATGAACTCACGCTATTTGAACTACTAATTCTCACACGACTTTCAATTGTCGGCAAAAATGGCGAATTTAGCACACACTGTTATCAACCAATACTAGGTGAACAACTGATTCTATACGACTCCCAAATATCGGAAATTGTTTCTAACTAGCTTATCTTATCAGTTATCATGTCTCTTATCAGATGACATAAACAAAATATTTTTATGAATCAAACATTGAAAATAAACATTTTGTTTTCATACAAAACGTATCAAACTCATATAAGATAATACTTATGCAATTAATTTCCATTAATTCTATTTATTCACAAAGTGATCATTTCGACCGGGGAACAAATCCTAGTCTATAACTTTATTTTAATACTCCTTTAAATTAACATTATTGGAAAGGTGATTTCAATCGGGGAACTGAACCCGAAAACATAATTTATATCTTAAAAATTCCCTATATGAATTTATTAAGAGATATTACTAAGAAAACGATAAACTACTCCGGCCTGGGAGTCGAACCCAAGACCTTCATATCATTAATTCGATATTTCTTTAAGATTCAACTAAGCATTTTCTTATCGGAATATTGTTGCTTGATAATTTGCTTTTAGAAGCTATTCGTAATCGGTTAACTAATAAATTGAAATATTCTTATAGGCGCGTCGCCAACACATATAGTACAATTTTTTTATGATTATTTGTTTTATTCTTAATAACCTAGTAGTTTTTGTCGAACTTTTTATTTATAACAATCTCTTGTATTTACTTTATTTCTATTTCTGGTTTCTTACTTATTTACTCAAGGCTTTCTATATTTTTACTTATTTTCACTTATTATTTAAACAGTTCGTTGCGGTGAAAACTTTAGAGCACATAATTTTTAAAAATGGTAGCTAATTAGCACCAAAAAGCCCATAATTTTGGCTTTTTTATAGAATAAGGGTGACAAACGAGCACACAGTCCACTTGATGATAAGTGGATGCCGTGGCCCATAGACATCTACATTCATCCTCGATTAAAAATCAAAACGCAGATGCGTTGTTACCCCTGAGGACTAAAATGGAATGCCTCATTTTCAGTAAAAAAGGATCTCCGGATCTCTACATTCATCATACGAAACATAGCAGTATTAAGCTGCTATTTTACGTTGGCATTCTGTGATAGCGTGATTTTTCCTTAGGCTTTGGCTTTGGCTCTATCACGTACACGCTTTTTCTAAATGCAAATTTCCTATATTGCGTTGCTGTTGAGACTGAGCTCCACCGCATCCTCTTACTCTAAAGTAATAGTGAGGTCGTTTGTTGTGGTTTTATTCACTCTTACTTTGATGAAAAAAGTCAGGTTAACTAGACGCATACACGGACAAAAAAGAAGTCTTACCACCAAGAATTTCTTCTTTGAAGTTACACATTCTGACCTGTCCTTGTATGATCTCTCTCTAATGTGATCACTCTAGAATTTAAATTCAATAACTTAACCCGCAACTTTCATAGTAGGCAACTGAATGCGCAGGTGACCAGGTTGTCGTTTCCTGTTAAAATACCATAATTAATAAAATCCGCATAGGAATATATTTACAATAGATACAACCCCATGACATTTTTAAATCTGATTTGAACGTTTATGAATATTTTTGAATATCATTTTGCTGCGTAATTTTAACAGCTTTTTGACAATTATAAAAATTTAAATACACCTCAAACTATTATTTCCATACATTTACAACAACCCAAAAATAAGTTTTACAGGTGGCTCGTAGATCTAATTCTAAGGTGGTACAAAAAACAAATGGCATTTTCACTGTCAAATTAAGTGATGGCCATAGGACTGGAAGTTAGAATTTTTATTTGTAATTTTCGTAATTAATTTTTTGCATATTTTTTTTCTGATCAGCAGCATTAACCATTTAATAAAACCCTGGACGTACTGCTGATGTTGTTCCTCGTACCGGGGCAACTGAGCTATTCTCGACGTGAAAAAAATTGAAATTTTATTATTATTATTATCTCTATAGTTTTCTCATCTGGTTGGGTTCTATAAATATATACTTGTAAGTGAATATTATACATATACATAAATATCAATAAAATAAAATAAATACATAAAATACATAAATGAATAAAGACCCAACCAGATGAGAGCTCTCGGCAGAGGAGACCGAGGTTAGGGGGAATGGAATACGGCCGAGGGTTAGGGGGAAATTATTATTATTATAAAGCAAGCCAGCAATTAATACAACTGATATAAGGCTGTAACCTGATTTCTTATCTATAATTGTTCTATTTTATTTGTTAACCAATTTGTTCTTAAATTGGTTTATTGTTTGTGGTTTGTGCTGATATCACCAGTGATGGCAAGCTGCCATTCCACGTTTCAACCACTCTTTGGCTAAAATGTGCTTGTATGCGTTACTATGTGACACGGCTTAAGTCAAATTGATACCCCTTAAGATGTGTGTTGTTTGAGTATCGCAATAATAGTTCGTCGAAAAAATTTATTAGATCATAGTATCCACGTATTATTTTATAAGTTTTAATGAATTCTCCTCGTTTTTACGGTCTAATTGCGGTCATATTTTCTATGAAATAACAAGTACCTAGATAAACTTTGGAAGTTAAACTGTATTTAAATACAAAATTTCATACAAATCAGTTGAGCCGTTTCCAAAAAATCAATTATTTAAATACATATTAATTACACACACACACACACACACACACACCACAAGCGCGCGCGCGCACGCACGCAGCATGCACGCACGCACGCACGCACGCACGCCCACACGTACGCTCGCACGCACGCACGTATGCGCGCGCGTACACACACACACACACACACACACAAACACACACAAACATATATACTGAATGACTTTTTACCGTCTCAAAAAAATAGGTGAAACATGTGAACGGAGTAGAATAAATTAATAAAAATCTGTCGAAACTCAAATCATATCCACCGTACTTTACGAACGGCAATAAAACAATAAATTTAGTAGGCATCTTTGACTTTGTCACATCGCAGGGTTACAGGCTAGGATGGACATAATATGTGAACATATATAATACGTATTTTTACTAACTTAAACGTAATAAAAGTATTAAACGTAATATATTTTCTGTAAAAGTACTATAATAATTTATTTTTGCCCAGAAGTGTGGCCGTATATGTTAGAATACTAAAGCGCATATAATAAAATATAAAAGATAACCACTATTTACGCTTCAAATTCGCGCACTCCAGATTTGTCGTCCCACACTCCAGCTATCAGACTGATGAGAAGAGATTCTTTGTAGCAAAATTCAATTAAACATAATTTTAGGACGGGAAAAGCATCAAAAATATCTGTATTGGTGGAAAATTGTCATAGGTGACTAGTTCATCACCCACACATTCAAAGGATCGAAGGAAAATCACTATTCCATTAGTTGCCTTATACGACATGCAAGACGATTAATATAATGGGCACATTCTTTTTATTATAACTCCAACACAAATACGGGACCTATAAGTGATCGACATGGGACATTCATTATGCTATAATAATATCATTTGGCGTAAATTTGAAACTTTCTAACTACTTCTAAGTTAATAATATTTCATAGTTCTTTCACAATTTGCAAAATAATTTTTAAAGAGTCCTATTTTATACTTATTATCTCCCTTCTCTGGTAAAGAGTGTTTTTATCTTCATTTGTTTAAGAAATGTGTTCTTCAGTCTTGGAATCAGAAGATTCTTTGTCCTGCACTGAGATATTTTCGTCCTCTTTGTCGTCGGAATTTTCTTTATGCTCTGGCTTACTATTATCTTTTGATGTAATCTGCACGTCTGTTTGGTTTGATTCAACGTCTTTCTCTTGTATTTCATCTTTATTATCTTCGATAAAGTCAACTAAATCACTAGAGTAACTTTTGTTTTTATCATGTACATCATGACTATTTTTCTGTTCGAATTCACCCTCGTTATCATTACTATGTTCATCAAAACTTTTTGTGACATCTTTGTTGGATTTGTCTTTATTAGAGTCATCCGAATTGTTAGATTCATCTGTTTCCCAATCTTCTCTATCATTTCTTGGGTCTGTATTGTCTATAAATCCATCATAAAAACTATGACCGAATTTTATTTCCGGATGAAATTTAAAATAATCAAATATGTCATAGACTCTTTGTTCTTTCTTTTCTTTTTGTAGATCTTTATATTCATCGATACGATTTTTAATGTCTTTAGATTTGACTGAATAATGTTTGTTAACATTTTTGTTGTATTTATCTACCGCTTGATCTCCATTTTTCTGCTTAACAACATCGTGTCTGATTTCAAACCGGTAATCAGAGCGTGATCCATGATTATCTCTGCAATTATATGTGATTGGTGATGATGCAGCTAACGTTGCTAGTATGCAGATCGCCTGTAAAATGCAATAAATTCATTAAAATTGTTACTATCACTAAAGGTTATTTGTGCTGTTATAAGCGCTCGCCATAGATTTTACAGTAAACTAGCAACCCAAAATTCTTATCGGCACCGGTGGGAATTTTGTATTAATTTCTATTCGAGAATACTCAAAAACCCTCTTAGAAATGAGAGGATGTCTGTGACTAGTCGTTGAACGTTATAGACTGTAACTTTACTTTTAATTTTTCTCTTATCAGTTTGTGTTGGCCAACTTCACGTGTAAAATAATAACAATAAACATTCACGCCTGTCATCCAGAGGGGTAGGTAGAGACTACGGATTTTCGTTTGATACGATCCTGACACAACTTTCTCACTTCGTCCACATCCATATACCTATGCATACTTGCTCGTCGGTTAAGGGTTCTTAATTTGGTCCATTTTCAATAGCCAATTTGGTCGGTAAACTTTCGCCTAGGATGTCCCTTCCCGACTCTGCCATTCACTTTTGCAACATAAATGAATGAAGAAAAACTTTGCACAATGGGGTGTAGAGCCCCATTAACTCTATTTCCTGCGTTCACCCGTCGGTCTATATTCTTATATCTATATCCCTGCTAAATACACATCCAAAACACACAAATTCCATCTACTTTCTCGAATAACTCCCCTTCTATTCTTATTTCACATATTGTTTTACTTTCTTCTCTTTCAAAAACCATAAATGTTGTCTTATTTGCATTCACTTGCTTTTTTCATCTCTTTTAATGACCTGTTCATTAATATAACCATCATTTGCAACTCGGCCGCCAACGACGCAAATATGACTTGAACATCGTACAATCATCCATTCTTAACCTGCATTCTTCACATGTCTTTGAAATTTCACCGTTTTATTTCAATGACGAGTACGAGAGATGGTAAATGATTACTCAACATCGCAACTAATAATTTCATTGGTGGCGGTGATTGAACCCGGGTCTTTGCATACTGTGAAAATTACGGGCGTTTCGATCCTCAGTCAGGACGCCTCTAAGGATAGAATAGAAGGCTAAAATTTTACGTTATACTAATTTTAAATGCCATTTTTAAAAGGCCGGTAACAATCGTGTTATAAATAAAATAAGAGAACTTTCAAGCACATGTCGTTAATAGGTATTCATATTCTAGTTACTCATCGATGTTATAGTCGATCACAAGTCTATTCTACACATGCAATAAAGCACGAACTTAGGTTACTTGGAGCCATTAAGTGCCTGCATAAGTCTCAACCATCATGAATGGAAGTTAAATTTGCTTTTATAAAATAACGATTTCTGGTAAAGACACTTAGAAAATAAATCAAGAAACTACAGTTAAAAACGCATCGTATAAAACACAGTTTCTCCTCACCAATATTGTAAATACTTTCATTTTTAAGGAATCGATGCTATATTTTAAATTAAATATTTACGACATAAATAATATTCCACAGTTAAATATACGTGCAAACTATAACTGATATCATTCGAGAATCCTGGAATTATTGCCAATCGTTGCCTTTAATATCTTAGGTAGTAACTTTTTGTTTTAACTCATTTTACGTATTAGAAACTACGCTATCAAAACCAACTTTGATATAGTAATTGAACGATTTATTGTAAAACGCTTCTGCAATATGAAACTTCCCGGATTTATAGATTAATTAAAATTGTTCATGCACATATAAATCTATTGAAATGCTTATTTAATTTTTCTCATCATATTCTTTTCTTTTAAACTAAACTGATATCTCAAACGAGTTTATAGTCCATCTGATGGTAAGTAGCTACTACCGTACTACTCCTGTATGGCCCATGGATATTTACAACTAACTCATAGTAATTACTAGCATAGAGAGAGTCTTAAAAATAGAACAAAACCTCATGTAACCGAACTCTTTATGCATATGACATTTCCTACAAGAATAAAAAAGATAGTTATATGAATGTCACCATCTCTCCTTTACAAGGTTGTAGACGTTTTTTAAGCTTTTTTTATATACCTTAGACTGTTATAGTGATGGTAACAACAGAAAAGAACAGCCTATTCGATATACACGTTTTATCTATGGTTCAATAAAATTCAGCATTTTAATAATATTGCTTAACGTTTTCAATAATTTAGGATGCGCACTAAGGGAAGACTTGTTACGGACGAAGTGTCCAGCAATGGAACTTAAAAACGTTTGATTTAGAATCAATTTTGCTAAATTTTGTTTAGATTTGGGTGAATATTGTAATTCAGATCGATCGTGCTATGAAGTTAAAATATATCATAAAACCCACTAAGAAAAATTCTGTTCGCCAAATTTGGTAACGCTTCTTCATCAGTTTTACATTAGTTAGGTGTGATCAAAGTAACACAAAGTAAAAAATCAAACAAAATATTTATTTGCCCTTTACAAAGAAAATAAAACCAATTTAACTGTATTGAAAAAATGTTTATTGTATATCTATATTACTCATTTAATTTAGTAAAATCTTTGTATCTGCCACAGTTTCTCAAATCGTCTAGGGTTAACTGGTAGAGAATACCATAAGTTGACATTTTATATCCCTCATTATACGGTGTGTAAAAAAGAAGAAACGTATAAATAAAATACTAATTGGTGCCCTTTACAAGAAGCTAGCTGTGACAAAAAATGTAAATACAATAGTACAAAAAGCTTAAAAGTCAAAGGTTTGTTCTACGTACTTGCAAACCTTTTTCAGACACAAACTGTATCAAAAGTGTTTATTACGCTAGAAATATTTGTTCTCCCTATTTCATTACGCATAAACAACAAATTAAAATAATTCAGACAAAGTTTATAAGACATTTGAATTATAGCATTCACGCGTATATACTTTATTATATTGGGTCCTTACATAAGAAATTAGCGTTTTGTCGTGATCGGAAATATCTCCTTTTTGGTTCAGAATTCCAAATTCGTGTTCTGCCGTGGCAACAGAGCTGCAGAAACAGCTTGAAGGATTAATGATGTGTACGGCGCTGGTGTCGCAAAAGAAAGCATGGTACGTTTTTGGTTTCAACGTTTTCGTTCTGGAAATTTCGACCAACCCCGTGGACGGCCGGAAACCAAAGTGAAAAATAAAGAATTAAAGGCTATTGTGGAAGCGGATCCACCACAAAGCCCTTCAGAGATAGCTACAGGATTCGGTATAAGTTGTAAAACTGTATTAATCCATTTGAAGCAACCGGGAAAGTAAAAAACTTGAACGATTGACGACGAGGTACCCTCATAAATTGAGTGAATCGAACTTGCAATATGATACGTAATTAAAAATACAGTTAAACAAAGTAGCTGTATTCTTAGGATGTATAAAGTAGGAATTACAATTAATTTCAGCCTTCGCCATTTCCTTTCATAAATAAAACAATGTTTGGAGAAGTGCTTTGAGCAAATGTGGCTATTTTTGTTTGTTCAATGGTTTTGTGCCCGTGGAATTTCTCTCATTCAGTTTTTTTTTATTCTTTATCATTTTTAGGCATACTAAAACAACGAAAATTTATAGAAGAATGTCGATATGGGGTGGTCGACATTGCCGATATGCCTTAAAACCGCATCACTATTGTTTAAAATAAATTTTATATTTCATTGTATTTTAGCGATTATATATAACAAATACAGTCTCATTTTCACAAAAAACCGACTTGTTATTTTCAAAATAATGTAAAATACAGTTTACTTACAGTTATAATGTAATTTAATTCTACATAGGATATTATAAACGTACACACCGGTGGAAACTTACGAATGCTGAACCATGTTCCTTAGGGGAAGAATGGGATTTGCATCCTAGTATAAATAGTATTGATATATTTTATTTGAAGATATAATTTTATAATAATTATAATATATATATATATATATATTATTTTCAATAAAATATCAAAGGCAACAGATGTCAAACATCATAATAAATAATACGACTGAATTAAAATTACATTAGTCACATCTTTGAATATATTTGTCACTTTTTGTCTTATTCGAAAATTAAATTAGAAAAAGCAAGATAAGTATATTGACTCAATTTATGTAGACTTGTAGGTTCTCTCTATGCATACGTATGTGTGTAATTACTCTAAGAAAACCAACTTGAAATAAGGCTAAGAATGCCTCTGTGGACCAAGATGTTTGTTGAAGTTTATTGTTAAGCAGCGACTTAATACATATTTTTAAATAGTTTAGGAGAACCAACAAACAATTGGGACACAATTATAATAGTTATGTTCGCTAACATACTAGACATTCAAACGAGTAATAAATTGGAGAAGGTATAGGAATAGCCTAACAGATAACCCCACCCTAGAATTATTTTTTACGTTCTAACGTTTTTACGTAATAATTTTATATTTTTATAGAATAAGGGTGACAACGAGCACGGTCCACTTGATGGTAAGTAAATGCTGTGGCCCATAGACACCTACATCTATACTCGATTAAGAATCAAAATGCAGATGACCCCTGAAGACTAACCTGGAATGCCTCGATTCCGTATAAAGAGAGTCTTCGGTTCTCTACACTCACGAAACAAAACACAGCAGCATTATGCTGCTATTTTAAGCTGGATTCTGTGAGAGTATGATCCCGCCCCAGTCGCGCCGACCCAATCGTGCTACAACTATAATATAGCTGCAGCGTGGCTCTACCATGTTATGTTGTTTAATGTACCATGTTTAGCGAATAAATGAAACTATTATTGTTATCGAACTATTATTACAGCTTATAAAAGTCCACTGCTGAATATAGGTCTATAAATAAATCGTTTTAATATCGAAATAACTCTTCCTTCCTTTTCTTTTCTTTTCTTTTAACGTTTTACGGCACAAAATTTATCAACATATTTATATTTTTTTGTATTAACTTTATTTACATCTTAGTCCTCAGGGGTAACAGCGCATCTGCATTTTGATTCTAATTAAATATAAAGGTGGATGTCTGCGGGCCACAGCATCCACTTACCATCAGATGGACTGTGTGCTCGTTTGTCACCCAATTTTATAAAAAAAACGTTAAAGATGACAAATAGTTGTATACAATACACAACTATTTGTCATCTTTAACGTGTTTACCACATCTGGCATGTGAAAATTATTCAACATAATTTTCATAAATAAATCAATAAATTTATATACATATAATAAAATGACATTAAACTAAAATTACAAGTGTCATGTGAATCATAATTGTTTTAGAACTAGGCAGATCAAAGTAAGTATAAGTATATAGAAAAATATGCCAAAGGAGCACTTAATCTACAAAACATGAAATAAATATAAATGTTTAAATCATCACTATGTCAAGATTAGGTAACGAGAATGTAATGTATGAATAACGGATAGGCGTAGAGTTAATCATGATAACTGAAGGTCTGTTTCAAAAGTTATTGCGAAAACATTATTATAATAAATTGGAGGCTCGTTATCATTGCCTAATGGTGATAATTGAAATTGTTGAGGTTTCTCGATTACGCTACGATAGTAATAATCATTAACGGTTTATCGGTGAATGAACGCGATAAGGCCCGTTATAGACAATGGTTACAACGTTTATTAAAAAAAAAGATATTTAAGCATCCGACACGCACGCGTTGTTCGTGTTATGTTAATAATTTTTTGCATCTGTGTAATTAACTTACAAGGAGCATATTTTACTTTATAATGCTGCGTCTTACTTTATTATTGGCCCATCTAAGTAGTACAGAGCAAAAAGTATTTTGGTCTGATGGGCGTAGAGAGTAAGTAAAAATACAGGTTTTCCATCCTAGTCCTTAGAAGTAACAGCATATTTGTAGCTTTTTTGCTTGAAGTCGCCGTGCCTTACCATCGAGAGGATTGTCAGTTATTTGTCACTCCAATATTTTATAAACTTCATGGAACTGTCTTTTTAAATCACTGTTGGACAAATACCTTTTTAATAATGAGACAGAGTCGATACCCTCACCATGGTAGTGAAGTTCCCCTTTAATGGTCTGTGGAGTCACCGGGTCCAGTATCATAATAGAGCAGTTGATCTCTTTCTCTACATAATTCGCCAGATTAATTTAAAAAATAATAGAATACTATACTTACACAAATATTATATAATCCATTAATAAATAATAGATCAAATGTAATTCACGATCGATTTATTGAACACATCAAAAGACAAATTCGACACTAGAAATATTTAGAAAGAGGAATGAAAACTGTTTATAAATATTTTTTGTTACACTTATATATTATATAAGAATCTCCGGGAGGAAAACCGGCGACGAGGTTCGCCACCCGTCACGTTCTGTCTCCCGGAGAGGCGAAACGTGGATTGCAGAGGCCCGTCTGGCTACGTTGAATGTATGTGGGGCAATGAATGATAAAATGGATGAAGTATGCGATATGATGTATGATAGAGGAATAGATGTGTTATGTGTAAATGAGACGAAAAGGAAGGGGAAGGATGTCACTACACATGGCATGTATACCGCATACTGGTCTGGGGTAGACGAGATCGAGCGGGCATGCCAGGGAGTAGGTATCATCCTATAGTAGTATAGTATAGTAGTAGGTATGAATGTGTAAGCCCAAGACTGCTATGGATACGAATGAAAGTGGGCTTAAAGAAGTTGTTTGTGTTAGGGGTCTACGCCCCAGACATGTCTAAGCCCACTTACATCCGAGAGCAGTTTAGAGAAATGGTAAGGATGGTGTTAATGAAGTGTAAGGGAAATGAAAATATTATTATGCTAGGAGATTTTAATGGAAGAGTTGGGGTGAGGAGGCTTGGTTATGAAAGGATATTGGGAACGTTTGGTGATAAAATTATAAATGATAATGGTGAAAGTCTCCTCACCGTATGTATGGAAAAGAATCTTTTTGTGACGAATACTTGCTTTCGCTACAAGAGGATTCACATGTATACTTGGGAAAGATGTGACGATAGAAGCATGATAGATTTCATAATTGTGGATGAAAGATTGAGGGGCGCAGTGGTAGATACAAGGGTTTACCGGGGTTCTAACGTAGGAACGGATCATTATTTGGTTTTATGCCGAATTAATGGTCTATTCAGGCGTTGGCGCCATCGATCATCTGTGTCTACCACTGCGTTACAGCGTATTAGAACAGAAAGGTTACAAGATGGAGGTGAGAAAAACAAGCTCAAATGTAGACTGAAAGAAAATATAAGTGGTTTGGATGAATTATGTATGAAGGAGATAGACTTGGAGAATATATGGCAAAACGTAAAGAAAGGTTTAGTGGATGCAGCTACCGAAGTATGTGGTGTTAGTAAGAGAAAGAATGAAAGGAAAAATAATACGTTATGGTGGGATGATGAGATACGTACGGAAGTTGAAGCAAAGAAGAGAGCATGGCTAGATTTACTAGCAACAAAAGCTGGTAATTCTAGCGGTACGAATGATGATATTGAAAGAAAAAAGGCAGTCTTTAGACATCTTAATAAGAGAGTAAAAGAAGTAGTTGAAAGAAAAAAGCAAGAAAGAACGGATACGAATGATAGAAGAATATCGGATAACTTCCAGGCAAATATTAAAATGTTCTGGAAACTTGTAAGAACTGCCAGGGGACATTCAAAACAGCCTATGATGAATGCTATTTGAGACGAGAATGGCTATATTCTGAATGATGAAGTTTTGAGTTTAAAGAGATGGAAGGAATATTTTGAAAGCGTGTTTATGAGTGAGTAGACAACGTGTGTACTAAGTGAAGTAGAAACTCCGAAAGAAGAGAAAAGAGGTAGCGAGATAAGTATAGATGAAATAATGAAAGCAATGAAAAGCATGAAAGCAAGTAAGGCTGCCGGATATGATAGAGTTTCACTCGAAATGCTAAGGGCTGGAAAGGAAGTCGTGGCAGCCCTGCTGCACACCTTGTTTAATTTATGCTGGGAACTGAAGCGGGTACCCGTAGACTGGTGCAAAGCCGTGATAGTCCCAGTATACAAAGGAAAAGGGTCGCAGCAGGACTGTAAAAACTACCGTGGCATCAGCCTTCTCAGCCATATCTTAACTTGGCGATTTATTGAAAACGGGCCAAATTAGGAGTACCCTTAACTGACGAGCATGTATCCGTAGGTGTATGTTGTGAAGGAGGCCAGAGAGTTGTGTCAGGATCGTGCCAAATGGAAGTCTGTAGTCTCTGCCTACCCCTCTGGGTGACAGAGTGAGTGTTTATGTTTTATGTTTATGTTTGTTATACTTATAATGTAACCAGGTAACCATGTTCCTCTTTTGAATTCAATCTTTTAATTATTTGGCCATATTGGTCTATTATCTTTTTACATGCCCCATTTACTTTATCTTCATATAAGTTCCCGCATTCATAAATATCGTTGGATAAAAATACTTAACGTTCTTAGCACAGAATTTTTAGCCTCTTTAATTCAGCGCTTTATGCTATCGGCTCTGTCTATTTATCCACAATCGAAAACTAATTGTTTTTTATGACTGATAAGAAACATTCCAAACATTTTATTTTAATTAACGTATTTAAAATTATGTTAACCTCGCACTAGCACAGAATAAATACACCAGTAGATTCTAATCTACTTCCAGGCACAGACTTGAAGTCAAATGATATTCTACCTATCTTAACCAAGCTAATATGCACCATGCACCGTAGGCTTATTACTGTGCATACTGAATAATATCTAATACTCTGGTGAAGTTGTTATATGATACCATTCGTGAGATTCAAATTCGGAATTAAGAACCAATATTTCCGTTTTCTTACTGCTAGAGTTCGTTCCTCGAGAGTAATATTCATTTTTAGTAGCGTTCGTGCCGATAGATAAAAATGAGAAAAAAATTGAACTCTTTCCTCTTTTTAAGGAAAAGTTCATAGAAGTAAGGATTTGATAACGATGACTGTGGCTCTTGGCAAAGGCCTCCTTTAACATCTTCCAATGAAAAAAAAATTACCTAATTCTGTGACGTAAAGCGTCAATGTAACGTTTTTGTTACTCGTAAATTAAGCTACATAGTACAATAATATAATTTAACGACGCTCCGGGAAGTCTGCAGTCTGTGAACACGTACAGGATCGCCCCCGTCACTACATCAGATTTGATAGACCGCAGATCCTCGCTAAAGAACACCGATTCCTTCCAAGGATGATTCGCGAGGCTATTGAAATCAAAAAACATCCTAATTTCAATAGAGAAGATGGCTGGGTGCTACCATCTACTTGGGATCCTATAATAAATAAAATTAAATCCCAACCCAAGCATACAACTGCAAGACTTCAAGATACCATAAGTTCATACTGCATAGATCGGAACAAAAGTTAAACTTTAATCTATGGTAACCGCGGTTAACTATGACATATAGACGTTGAACATCTCAGTCCTGCCCGTGACCATGAGTGCTGTAAAGCGTTCGAAACGTCGGGTATTTAAAAAGTTAAAATATACGCGATAAATTCCGTAAAAACTAGTATTATTTCAAATATAATTTAACCTTATAAATGTATAAAAACTTTTGTAGCCAATGACTTGCCTGAAACGATTGTTATATTATGGTCAATAAATATTTCTGATTTTGCTTTCTATCTCTAGCAATCCTTCTTCAGTTTGGGCTGGCTGTTAATTTTATCCCATCCTCTCATCCTCTCATCTTTTTCTTTGCCTTTCTCTTTTCCTTTTACCATCTCTAGGGCACCAGTTATTAATAATCGTGCTCCATTTTTCTTGGGTACTTCACATTGTATAATTTAATATACTGCGAAATACTATGAAGTACTGTGAAACACCCCAGCATTGGCTTATAACATAAAAAAAATATACTGATGGATATCAGTATATTCCTTAGACGGTTCGAAGAACTTTAAAGTGTGTCACTTAAAAGATTAAAGTATTATTAAAATAACATAGTTTTGTCGAAAGGCTTGATTTATTCAGTCTTATAAATTAAACAAACGTTAAAATAGTATATTTACACAGCTAAACTTAAACAATTTGACCACTTATATTAAAAACAATAAATCATTTTAGAAGTTAATTTTGAAGCGAAGACAAATTCAATATAGCGATTGTGTAACATGTAACAAAAACCCTGGGGTTCGCGTTGAGCTCGTTATCTACTTTACTTCAGAAAACACGACCGTAAAAAAATTTAATCAAATTTAAATACATTTTCATTTGCATGGTTTTATTGCATCTGACATTATCCGGCAAATGCAAACGTTCTGAAGTAGTTATTTCTATAGGTACATTTGAATACTGTTTCTTTTAACGAAATTAACGGAACCACGGGGTTTCGTTACATATTGTATATATAATCAAATCATTTAGGCTTGTTTAGGTCTTTCCCTGGTGGCATTGGTGAATTGTATTCGGCAATTAGTAATTGCCATGTTGGGCAGGAGGAAGTCGTTTAAAGTGTTGACGCCTTTATGAGCTGGGCGGTCGAAGGGGAAGCCCATTGCACGACGGTCTGGGTAACGCCGGTCGCGGATGCCACAGTATGAAGCAGCATCATTACAAGTGCCTACGGTGTCTTGTTTGATCTGTTGAAATACAAATATTTTGGTCAGTTCAAGTATAGATAACTATTAAAATTAGAATTTTATCAAACTAGGGTGGCCTCCCACTAGATAGAGTGATGACCTGGTAAGAGATGCAGGAAGTCGATGGATGTAGGTGGCCCAGGAC